TTGAATTCAGTAACATTTGATTCATCTTATACATTTTTTTTCACACACTTTTTGCAGCACCTCATCTAAAGTGTGAATAAAATGTGATCACAATGGTGCACTGAGGAAGGCAAACCATGAGTCTGAGGAGGAAGCAGAAACATATTTTAATATTTTGACAGTTACTGCAGCAGCAGTCAGAGCTCCACACACTTAAAAATGGTTGTCAAGATAGATTTTAAAGAAAATTATTCCAAGCAGAGGCAAGAAAATTCAATATGCGTGTGTTTTAAATAACTCCTGAAGTGAAGCTGAAATGGGCATTTGTGTCACAGAGAAAGGACATCATGAATCTCTTGACAGCTCAGGACCTGAGTGAAGAAGATGAGAGATGACCTATTTAAAACAGTATGTGATTGTGTGTGTGTGCGTGTGTGTGTGAGAAAGAGAGAGAGAGAGAGAGCGAGAGAGACAGAGAGACAGAGAGACAGAGAGACAGAGAGAGAGAGAGCTTCACAGGTGGGATTTTTTTAAGTCCCCAAATGATTATAATATTAGCCACAGTTATCCTGCAGCAGATATTTTCTGCTGATATACAATCCCTTTGACTATAACTCACCCAGAGATTTGTTTTATAAAAGTCTTTAACATAGCAGTAAAACCATCAGAAAACCAACCTTGATTGAACCTCATAAAAATAAAATCTACTATATTTATTGGTAGGAGTTCTTTGACACAGAGGGACCCACAACAAATTCAAAGTTAAAATAGACTGATATAAAAATAAATCCCCCATGTACTGTCAGGAAAACTCTTATGATTATGAAGATCTTGGAACATAGAAGCCCAAGTGAAGTAAAACTTCTTTCAATGAGTTGATTTCCAAATGCTACAATATAATTTTGAACAATGTAGCTGTAAACAGATATAAGGACATTTTTAAGTGTTTATTAACGTCTTTGTTAACATTTCTTCTTTGAAGCATCTGTGTACAAACAGATACTTATTAAGCAGGCTGTTTTTTAAGTAGCTGTTTATTTTGGAGGAATAATAATAATATAGTTCACAAAAAATAATATAGACTCAGACTCCTCACTCAAAGATGGGGTTATTATTCTGATTATGATGAGCATGAAGCTCTCATCAACTAAACTTCAGCAGCACTTTAGTATAAGTCCATAAGCAGTATACAAACATTTCATAAATTACTTATAATACATCTGAATGTAGTTGTGAGCATATATAAGTGTTTATTAGTGCATTTATCAGCCATTATAACTCCTCCTTTGGACACCCACATTAGATTAAATGAATGAAGATATAGTAAAATACATTTGTAATAATATAGAATGTCCTCTTATACTGTACATTGATAAACACTTGAAATGTCCTTATAGAATGGTCCATCTACCTTACAGTGTGTTATAAACCATTCATTAAATGTTTGTATACTGCTTATAAATGGTATATAGGAGAATTTAACATAGAGATTAAAGACTTTGCAGTAACTATGTTTACTTGTGTGAGTTAATAGGAAAAAAGTAGCAATATACAAGCACTGCAAAATATCAATTTATTGTATGTGTTCAAAACTTATATATGTAATATGATTTCTGAAATCTGGATCTGTTCTGTTCTATGTTTTTTTTTCTCCCCTTCAGGCACTTGTACATCTCCTTCTGTTGGTCCTGCAGGCAGCAGTAATAATAAGTGCTATTTTCAGCCAAGTGATTAATTCGTGTTTTCAGGGAAATTATAATCGTGGGTAATGAACCTAACATATTTCATTAGCTGCAGCTTGCTGGAGGAACTTCTGTTGTTATTATCATTAATATGATTTAAAAAAAAAAAAATCCATATATCTATCTGCAGATGCTTCTTTTTGATTCAAAACATAGTGTATATTGAATGGAGATAAAGATTAAAAAACTTAAAATCAGAATCAAACCTTTGGGCTGGCTAAACTAACCTCTGGACATGTTTCATAGATTTACATTTTTTACTCAGTTGCTTTGGTACATTTCTCCAATCATCCTCAACATTTGTAAAACAGTAAGAAGCATTTCTCAAAACAATTCAGTCACCTACAAAAGCCTGTAACGTGTTCAAAAACCTTAGTTTATCTCTCAAAAGCAAATATTTATGCCAATATATATAAACATACACATATATACACAAATATATGCATACATATATTCCAGCACTTAGCCTTACTCCTCTTCTTCTTCCCAGCTGTTGACCCTGTTCATTTATTGTCAGAGTTTGAGACACTGTGTGGCGCTCTGTCTGTGTATGCTTGCCAGTTCCTCAACTGGCATGAGCTGCACCTCTGAGGTGAGGAGAACTGGTTGATCATTGGTTGATCTAACGCTTCACACGTTCCCCCTTCGTTAGTGAAATATAATATGTGTATAGAACATATGCTTCAGAGATGATGACAACCATTTTACATGTAATAACTTATGCAATTAACTAATGCCTATATGTTTTGGGGGCTAAGAATATTCAACAGAGAGCCAGTATAATACATTTTGATCAACATGACATAAGCAATGTCGGAAACAGGAGACATTTGTACATAATAATAATTATTATAATAATTAATTTGCATGAATGTGCCAAATCAATTGTTCAAATGAATGACACACCAGTGACCAGATGATGTGGAAGTTTAACAAGTGGTTTTGAGAATTTCAATTGTGATCTGAGAAATGTACCAGACTGAGAAACACTGTCATGCTGCTCAGATGTCGGCTGGACTCTACATCTGCTAAGTGTCTCTGTAACTCTGCTCTGTCATTTAGGAACAGGTTGGAAAAAAACATGGAAAAATGGCTGGCAGAAGTCTTTAAAAGTGTCAGCTCCTTATGTAATTGCCATTTTTCTCCTTTTGGCTTTTTAAATTATCAGTCTAACCTGATTATAGGATTTAGACCTGGCACACTGTGTCAATGGAAATAAAAATGACTAATCCAAAAAAAAGGGAAAAAAAAGGGGAAAATCTTTGAGCTGAGGTGTCTGTTTCTAAGAGGTTTTGAGTCATTTAAATCCCTCAGATGGAAACTATGTTTGATCAAACAACCCAATTCAGAATTAACCTCAGTTTAGATGGGTGGATTAAATTATGATTATGATTCAACATACAGTCCCTAATTTTATATAATTTGATAAGATTTAATAGAGGGACACTCAGCTTCACTATGTCACTGTTTACAGCCATTTATATTCATAATATTTTTATATATCTATATTCATAAAACACTTGCTCAAGGTCACCTCAACACTACACTGCTACAACTCAGTGTAAAAGAAATTCCAAAGCTCATTCAAACTAAGCAGTGTAAAAAACCCTAAATGATTCCACTGATTCCACTTTACATAATAATACAGACTGATACATAATTAATACAATTGGATGCATACACAATAAATAAATAATTCCTTGTTGTTGTTAAAGCCTGGGGGGAAATCAGCATCTAGATGATTCATCATCAGCGCATTAAACCGTCGCTTTGATCCATGTTTGTGGTTCAGGATTGGTTTGAGGCTAATTTGTTCAAAGTTTTACTGTAATATCTTATTTAGTCAACAGTGCGGAACAAAACAGACATAAGCCAACAGAGAAACTGCAGCAATAACACAACACACTACGAGTGTAGTCGTTGGACAGCAAGCTCAGAGTGATCACACCTTATGTAATAATACATAATTAATACGACATACTGAAAGACACTTTATTTTCCATTGTAGGCACACAGCAAAGTGATGTTTGGTAGCTCTCAGAGGCAGCAGCGTGAGGAAACAAGAGAAAACAAGATAAATAAACAAGATAAATATAAAGAGGCAGTGTCCTCTACCTATATATTATAAATAAAGGTGGTTGACAGTGCAAACAGTGCAGTATAAAAAGGTACAGCACAATGATGTTGGATGGTTAAAAACAATACAGAGATATGTGAAAATATAGAAGTAGTGTCCTCTATCTGTAAATAATAAACTTATGCATGGCAGGTAAACTGTAACGGTGCATTAGGTACTTATTATTACACTGCTTTTTTGTTGTCTTCTTGTTTGTGTTATTATATTTATATTTACCGTATATATTTGTTGTACTGTGTATATTTGTTCAACCTGCTTATTTTATTTATTTTAATTGTCCTTTGTACGGCACATTGGTCAGCTCAAGCTGTGTTTAAATGTGCTATAGAAATAAAATTGACTTGACTTGATACAGTGTAGTATGAAGGTTTTACATTACAGATGTGTTGTGTATTATATTTAATCTAATGTTGGAGTGGATTATTTGGTAATATTTGCAGTCTAGAGTCATCAACAGGTGGGAGAGAGGTGGGAGGGTGTGTGTGTAGGGTTGAGAAGTTTAGGCCCTCACCCCCACACACAAAGTTGTCCACTGTTGGTTTTGGGCTAATTTACTCAAAGTCTTAGAATAAAACAGAGAAACAGTCAACAGTGCAGAATAAAACAGAGAAACGGGGGACCAGAAAATCAGTAGTAGTGGTAGTTCAAACTCTTGGAGTATGGTTTAACATTTAATATCTAAATCAGGTGAGTTTATTAACTTGACATAAGAAGGATGTGTGGATATTCCACAATAGAAGTTTTCAGACCAAACCAAACTTTTTTTTATCTGAAATGCTAATTTAAAAAAAAGTGACATAATTTTTTGATTTTCAAAAACAAAGGATGTGACCCTTCTTTTTCTTTTTTTTTTGACGTGGGGAAAAAAGGCTTTTTGAACCATATTGCCAAAGGATGTTCATGATAATGAAAGTCAGCCTCCACAGTAAAAAAAAAAGAAGACAAACCTATGCTCTATAAATACACTTTAAAAGAATTTATTCTGCCGTTTTGATTCCCAGAAAGAGCGGCTACGTCAGTCTCGCTCTACTGTATTAATGGGACAGAGCTTTCAGGGGGAGGGACCTCCACTGACTTAAAGACAGTAGCTATAAAGGAGCTAAAGACAGGACTGCAGCCAGCACATTGAGACACACAGACGAAGACGCGGCAGACAGAGTGTATGTGTGTGTGTGTGTGTGTGTGAGAGAGAGAGCCCCCGGCTGTGTGGATAAATAAATAAAAGAAGAAACCCAGAGAAAGGCTTGGGTGTAACTGTGTGAACGAGAGGCTGAGCCCAGAGCAGAGGAGACAGGAGCACAGGGAAGGAGGAGGAGGGTGAGAAAGAGTCAAAGAGAGACAGAGGAGAGAGGAAAAAGAGGGAGAGAGAGATCAGAGCGTGGAACAGGTTCTTTCTGCAGCCCTCACACTCAGCCTCAGCAGACATGCCTAACTTTGCCGGCACCTGGAAGATGAAGAGGAGTGAGAATTTTGATGAACTTCTCAAAGCCCTGGGTAAGCCCTCTCCTCTCCTCTCCTCTTTTCTCCCTCTCCTCTCGCCCCTTCCATAGCCAGCACTACATCCCTGCATGAGGTTGACTATCCATCATGTCCATATAGAAAAAGGCTTCTCTTGTTCTTTTGGGAATGGCATGCTTGACTTCCAACAACATCTTATTGTTCAGAAAAGCTCCCTGGGAAAAAGGAGGCAGAGATCTACAGGGAGAACCTACTGAAGGGAAATCCCTCGTCTTTACAGGAGATATGAAACACTGGATGCTGAATTCCAGCCTAAACAGACGTGGTATTGTTACATGAAGAGAGGAGGGGGGCACAACATTATTCATGTTAAGCATTTAAGTAGGGCATGCATTAGCAATGCCAGGGGAGGTCTCTGGAACCCGGTGTTGTTCTCTTGTGTCCCATCTTTTTTTTTTTTTTCTTTTTCATTCTTTTTCACCCTTCTTGGTCTTAACTGATGATTGTGATGGTTTAGATTTGGACCAGTTTAACTGGGTCATTCAATTGTGTTGCAGCGTTTCGTCACGCCGGGACTGCTGAAACAGAGAGGGCACAGCAAAAAGGCTGGGTGTCTTTAGAATAATGTCGAAATCTTTAGGGAGAAGTCCCACTGAGAGTACAGCGAGCAGCTTCAACAACTCTCCGGGAAGTGTCGACACCAAACTGGATTACAAAAACAACTTTTTTAGGCATGAATGGGTCTTATTTTAACACGAGCAGGGCAAGTTAAGTTGAAAAGTGAACTGTTTTGTACCGTGAAACAGTTGACAATTAACTTATTTGTGAGATCTCTGTAGCGCTTAAAAGCAAATATAAGATTTCTGAAGGATCTAAGTGCAAATTTGGCTCCGACAGCCTCTGATTTAAAGATGTAACCTCTCTTTAAAAACCCTACCTGCCACAATGGGCTGTGCCATTTCATACTTGAAAGGTTTATAAGTAAAATGTTAGTTTTTTCTATTCCCACATCATTGAGCCACACTGTTGCACTGAGTGACATATTTCCTCTTTATGATGAACCTGGGAGCTGTAGTTTACTTTGATCAATCCCCAATACACTGTCCTGCTGCTATAAATACCAAATGAATATTAATCCGCTGCTGAAAATAGTCCCCAGAAAATGCATTGCTTGCTCTTGTTTGAGAGACATTTAAAACTACTAAAAACTAAAAACTACTGTACCCCAATGTTTTAGGATTTTTCTAAGGCTTTGGTAGGAACCAATGAAGTGGAAGGCAGTGAAAGTGAGGAAGGATTCAGAGATGGACTGACACATTATTGGTGTTGGTCTTTTTGTGAAAAACTAGAGAAGTAACAGCCTTACCTTTTAACCTTCAGTGTAGTACCCTGGTGTCAATGAGGATACTCTCATGGCCATCCAAAAAGACAATTATTCTGAAAACCAGTATAAGTTCATCACCCAAAAGCTCCTCATTTTTTCATTTTTTATTAATTTTGAGTCAGATTCAACACCTCACCAACAGCCCTCCCGTGTTTTGTTTTTAGGACAAGGTTCACCGGGCAACAGCTCTTCTGATTTTAGGCGAAATCAATCGCTAACACTGAGTTTAGCACCTCATCCGTTCATGAACACATTAACCACATCTGCCGGAGCAGATCACTCGTTCGCTCTTACATAAGGACCTGGTCAATTGAGAGCTGCATGGGATGGGCAACTAATGTGGATTCCAGTGCTGCAGGGCCGCCACTTTCCATCAACATCTTCATAATTATCTGTTGACTCTGAGGTTTCCCTTCTGTAGGAGGGGATTGTTAACATCCAGGGTGCAGATAGCAACACGCTGAGTGAACAGAGCTGCACCAAGCGATCAGACTCACAGCTCGATGACCGAGAGCGGGTATATGTGTCCGCATTTGATCAAAGAATGGAAAAATACGAATTGTTAGACAAATTGTAAGAGTCTGAGTTAATGGGGACTCTATCAGGATCTGCAGAAACCTGAGATGTTGGGTTATTGGTATTAATAAAGTAGCCTTGCTCTACCTTCTCCTAGGTTTCTGTAAGATCATGCACTCAATACTATTGTCTGTTTGCAGTAATGGTATACAATCATCTAAAAACCAAAGGCTTTTGTCCTTGACACTTATTCTGGACGTGGATGGAGAAAAAAATGCTTAATAATTAAAACATGAATGCAAATATCAACTCTTCAGACATGAGGGCCGACCGCTTGGCTCGTTCGCGCTAATACATTTTTAATGCTATAAAAACACATGGCGTGATCCCTCAGATCATGGGTGGGGTCCGGTGTAAGATGTCAAAGCAATATGTTTTTATTCCTGGGTGTTGACCTCTGAGGTTTTGGGATTAGGAAGAGCTTTCAAAACTGATCAGAGCTGATTTTTTCCTTTTCAAAATCCATGAAAACTTCTGAAAAGTTCTAGGCTTTTTATATATTCAGCTATTGGTAAAAGAGGGCAATGAAATATTAGTTCCAGGACCTTTGGCAGGACATAAAGCCAGATGGCCTTGCAGAGTCGAGCAGGGCATGCCAAAGCGTTGGGCTGTGCCACACGCATGATCACCGCTCCTGCAGCCACCAGACAAAAGAAGAGCCAGCACTGATCTGCCCTGACATCCTCAAGAGATCTTTTTTTTTTTTCTGTCAGACATGGCTGAATAATCCTTCAGAAGCAGAAATTCCATAGATTTCTCCCTGTTTTGAGAAATAGTTGAGGTTTCTGTCAGAGCCACAGACCCATGATGTTTATACCCTGAAACCTCTACATTTCTGTTATTCTTGGTTATAATTTAAGCTTGTGGATGTCCATGCTTAAAAAACACCAATAGAAAGAGACACATAGCCAGGATGTGTCTCTGTATCTAAGGTCCTGTGTCTGATCGAATGTGGCATGAAGGCCTGGAGACGTCTCAGTCTGGGTGGGGTCGAGGGGTAAAGCAGGACAGAAAGACAAGGGAACATACTGGAGGTTGTTTTGGTGCAAATTTTAGAACCGACGAGACGAAAAGAAGTTATAAAAAGACTTGATCTCTCTCCTTTGTACATTTCCTCTCTGTAACTTTTTCTTTCATGTGTCCAGCAGAGCTCAACCTTTAGCGTAAATCCTTTCTTCTGCAGCTGTCTCATGACTAAAGTTGATTTTATGGGGAATGAAACAGTCTATGACTCTTGTTGACCTCTGTCTGTGACCAATAAGAAGCAAAACAATGGCCTCTGGCACTCCTGTGATAATGTTGGAGCGTAATGAACACAAAACAGCCACGGCTTATTAGCTAACCGATTAAAACAGCCATGAAACAATTATTTCATAGGGTAAAATATCACAATACACATTACTGTAATTACTACAATAACAATTATTTCTGCTTGGATCATTTTCAACTAGAAACAAGTTTAAAACGATTAGCAAAGTGCCAAGAAAATCAGCATGTTGTAATTATGGAGTCATGGGTAACGATCAACAACCCTAAAACATCCCCAAGGACATAACACAGTCATTTTCTTCTACGAGGCAGAGAAACATCCCACTACTTTCCACTAAATTGATCTCGTTAAAATGATGAAACTTCCTGTGTTCTACCTGCGCAGGGGTGAACGCCATGCTGAGGAAGGTGGCTGTGGCGGCGGCCTCCAACCCTCACGTGGAAATCCGTCAAGACGGTGAGCAGTTCTACATCAAAACGTCCACCAGCGTGCGCACCACCGAGATCAACTTCCACATCGGTGAACAGTTTGACGAGGAGACGGTGGACGGACGAAAGTGCAAGGTAAAACTGCAGAAAAGTGAAAACATGGCACAGTCATAGTCAACAGATGATATGAATTCTAGTGAAGCATGGAGGAACATGTCTGTGTGTTTGCAAGTTTAAGCTCTTCCATACATCACATCACATTTTTTAGTTTTTGAAAGCAGACCATATAAAGTTTTAGCTCATCTTATTTATTGTCCTGTAGCAGCAGTGGTCTAAGTTTTTTCTGTACAGTTTTAAAATCTATGAATAGACTATTAAAACTGAGTTCAGCAAATCATCACAGAAAATATCAAAGCTGCATTCATTTTGTTAAAATAATGTACCATTATTGAGGCAGCAGGATGGAGCAGCATGCCAGAGTCCAAAGTCATGCAGGTTACAGTGCATTTACAGTGCAAGCAGGCACTAAATTACCTGCAGTTGTATTGATAGATTGGTGTGAAAGATTGGCGACCTGTCCAGCCGGTTGGTTCCTGCACCCCTGCGAGCCCAAGAGGATAAGCGATATGGTTAATGAATGAATGAATGAATGAATGTAAGAGGTGATTCAGTTGCTCTGTAAATAAATTCTGCTCTGCATTACTACATAGCAACAATGCAAAAAATCTGTTCAAGCTTATTTTTCTTATTGTCTTAATTTGAAAGTGACAGTGGTATGATAGTGAGCAGTAAAAGTCTCCAGCTAGAATCAAACCGGAAATATTGCGGTTTTATGGAATATGTCTTAACCACTGTGCCACCAGGTTGCCCCACAACATGCAACTTTGAATCTTATGTTGAGCAGACTGAATGGAAACCAACGGCTGCTCAGAATCATACAAATTTGTGAAACACGAAAGCTTTGCTTGCTAAATTGCTACTTGTGACTTTAAGTATATGTTAAGTACTTGTTAGGGTGTTACTTATTAAAGTGACAAAAAACTGGTTTCCACTGATTCCAATGCAACATTTTAGGGTTAAGGCTCATTTATGCGCAACAACATACTGTACATATACGGATGGAGCTATCTGTTCGTACTCTGCGTTCATTTCATCCGTGTTTGTGCGTGTTTTCCAAAAGCTTACTGATACAGAAAGAGCCGGGAATCATGGGTGGCAGTGTAGTTAGGGCGACACTTGACCACAGATTACGACAAAGAAATTTTAAAAATGGCGGAACTGTTTTAGGAGAGGTTCTGCAACGTGTTTGTTAATGTGTCTGTTGTAGTCAGAAATGTTCGACTCTGAGCTGCCCTCTAGTGGATGTATTAACATCCATGCAAACGTAACTGAGGCGCTGAAGTACGTGGACAGTCGATTACAGGGTTTGAAATGGATGAATCTATGTCCGGATGTAAAGAGAGCGTAGATTCTACATTCGCAACTGATTTGCAACAGCAAAGTCGCAAAAATGTTGAGACTGAAGATTCATGTGTTTTCTGCCATAATATCAAATCCACCTGTTGTGACTACTGCATTATTAAACTGTCTCATAGTTATGTTGAGGTGCTCACAGCACTTTAAAAAGATTAGGGAAAGATAGTGGTCTGATTTATTAGCACACAATCAACATCAGCAATGATTAACTATATCAATATCAGAACAACTTAATAATATAGGCTGTAAAAGTAATTTCAAGGAGAAGGTGTTGGATATTACACTTATTCTTGAAATGTTTTTCACGTGGAAACATCATGAAATATTCCACAATGGCGTATTCTTTGACATGTTTTGAACAGAGACACACGTTTGTCTCACCTCAGCATGTGGTTGATGAGGGTGATTAACACAGATTTAATCCTAACACCTGCAGATATCTAATTTCATGTATCCTCTAAACTTTTCACATCATTTATATTCTCTCGACATCCTTTGTGTGTTTGTGAGTGTATTCACGGTCTTCAGAGCTCTCTCCGTGCTTTTGTTGTCGAGGCTTCAGTGAAAAATTAACACAGTCTCATCCATTGGTATCAGGCTCACGCCCGTGCAGCTGGATTAAGGGCATCTTGAGTTGGGATGATGAGAGTTTCTCTCTGAACCTGTCGGGGCCCTGGGGGGGGATTTCTCACATCTCCATACAAAGTCAGAGCTGCTACACAGGTTTGGAGAGTAGCCAGAGGCATACATTATATTCTTTTCATTTTTTATTTTTTGGGGAAACGTTAAGGTCTTATAAATTCATTCAACTCATTTCAAATTCTGCTCTGCTCTCTCTGCTAAATCTGAATACATGTAAAAACAAGAGCCAGAGAATATATTATATTAAATTAGGGCATTATCCTAAAAAATTATGCATGGACTTTTACTTTAAAACAGGAAAATGTGTACAAACACTGAAACTGAAAAAAAAAACCATCTGCTTTCTGTTGCATGTGATGAGATGAACTGTTTTCTTGGAGACGTCTCCTAATTTGATCCCACTGCGACATCAACTGTGTAATTAATATGTAGGTTGTTCAGTCAGATAAAGAAAATGAAGCAGCTCGATTATTGATATTAATGATATGAAGACATATTCTGATAATTTTCCCACAGCTGAGCTCCACCTGTTTTTATGTCAAAGCTTAAGAAACTCCCTTTGATTTATTCATTTTAGTCTTCTCTTCTACAATTTTGTTCCTTACTTCATAAAATTAATTTCTTATATTGATGTTGCATATACAGTATATTGTAACATTTTGTAAGTAAAGGTCTTGAGGGAAGAAGTAACATAAATCAATCATTGTTTTTCCCTCAAGACTCTCGGTTTTAAAGCTTTTCCACGTCATGTCTGTGCCGTTGATTCAATTTATTGGAATAAGCTCTTAATTACCTCAACTATTTAATGCGCGGACACAATGCTGAGACACAACACCTAATGCTTAGACAAGATGTCATGGCAAAAACGCACTGCCGCTGACTCACTTCAGGTAATGAGAGTCTTGCATTAACGGTCCAGAGGCTGACATCTGTTTATCGCCCTCTGCTAAGCAACCAGTGTCTGAGCTGGAGAGAAAAAGGCTCCTGTTTGGTGTCAGTGAGGACACAGCGGGTAAACAAGGTTAGGATATAATCCAGATGAGGGAGCAAGAAAACATACAAGGGGCAAAAATAAAAGTAGTGCTTATTAACCAACACATTGTATTATTCTCTACTACCTTCTTGAGAAGGTACACATTATATATAATATACATATTCTCAGAAGGCAGATATTAATTTGAAGTCTGCTTGAGGAGGCTTTAACTTGTGAGATTCGATTTCATATAGTATGCCAAGAAGAGAAAATCATGATGCAGAGACCAGATTTTGGTCTTGGTGCAAAAAAAAAAAAAAAAAAAAAAAAAAAAAAAAATCCCTGGAGAGAATGAAGTTTGAAATGAGTGAGCTCTCTGCTGCAGTACATCCCTCTGTATGTACACACTTTCCATACAGAACATGCAGCAGCAGCTGTTGCAGTGTGGCAGAGGAGCGTTGCATAACAGATCCGCAGGACTGGGAGCTGTTGACAGCCACGATGTAACTTGTCAAGTTTCTCTGACCACTGGATACATTTTGGGTTTTGTGGATTGGATTGTTCGTGTTTTTTGAAAACATCACTTCTTTTTTTTAAAAGAAAATACATCTTGGATCAAAGCTGTTCATAAGATCCTCCTCACGTTTTCAAATTAGCATTAATGTTGATTTGTACAATTGCAGGCTTTTATTAAAAAGTCTTATTTCTTTTGAAACTGAAGGTTTCTGATAAACAGGGTTCCCCATTTTCATTCTGTCTATATTTTTCAATGAATAAACCCTGTCATTAACAAACTTCAACATCCATTTAACATTAGAAGACTGAAGAATTTTTTTTTTTGTAAATCCTTATTTTACAGCACAGTGTGTCTGATCTTTACAGGCCCGCAGGTCTGTAACTGTGTTGACCTTTAAAACTGGAGGTATATTCACATAAATGATCAAGTCATAGATGAAAAAGTAGCATTTTGTGTTTGCAAACTGATCATAATTTTAAAAAAAGTATTGATAATTTACATTTACATTACTTACAGCACAAAGTTACAGGTTGTGATAACTGAAGTGATTGACCAGTTTCACCAGATATTTGTTTATTTTCCTAAATTGCCAGTTAAGGCATATTTTTTATTCTAATTTACATAGCAACAAGCATAATGGTGCAGAGAGACAGCCATCCACCATGCTCTGCTGGAGCATCCTTTTTTCCTCAGCTGCAGGACTGCAGCTCTGTGAAAACAATAAACATTATGCTTTTCCACTGTTTTTTTTTCTTCCAAAGGGGCTGCAGAGTTTCTGGTTCTATCCTCATGTATCACTGAAACGGTGCCGTCCTGAAACATTCCTGGGCAGCACAGAGCAGTGATATTCATGCTTGTGGGAGAGAAATATTGCACATGGAAAGGGAAAATGTGCAATTGAGTGCACGCACTGCATTAAGGCAACAAAATTCTGCCAACCGCTTTTTTGGAGATATGTGTTTTCTGAAAACCACAATGCCTAACTGGGTATGTGCAGTACGGTTTTCATCTGTGTCTGATCTGTGTATTTTGTCTATATCATCTTTTAACATGCAAAATGTTATATATTCACCAGCTATAAAAGCTTATAAAAGCTTATAAATGCTGTTTAGTCTGCAGCTAAAATCTGAGATATTGATTTTTGTCTCTACCTGCTGTTTTATGGTTTGAACTCCATGTTGCAGTCGGGGGGAGCAGACATGACCTATTTCAGATCCTAGGAGACAGTGTGGCTCCTTCTGTCTGTGCCCTGGGGCATGCTGGGTACTGGGCAGGGCTGGATGGCTCTCAGTGTCGCCACATGAAGCCTCTCTGCTACGAGGCCGACAAGTCAAGATGTCATCACAAATTTGCCATGTCCGTTTGTCTGGGTTTGAGCTTCAGCATCACAGCATTCGCCTGCAAAACACGGTTTTGTTTACAACACAATATGATCAGAGAGTGTGTCCTTCATTGCTTTGACCTTATACTCCAACACATTGAATTTGAAACAGGAAAAAGTGGCTATGAGGTTAAAGTGTGTCTTGA